TTTCATCTTCAAGGTCTTCCCATTGACAGAAATATAGCATTTGCACAGTTTGCAATCCATCCTTCCCTGGAAGATGTCCATCATCTCAGGTGAGTGGGGATTTTGCTGGGCTCAATATGAAGAAAGGGTAGTTGCTCTTTCCACATTAGCATATTGAGCTTGAAGCTGAGATGATTGGTAGATAATGATATGGCTGTGCAGGCTTGCCATTCATCTTGAACCTCAGTTCACTGCAGTGTGGACAACACCTGAGTTCGGCGAGGGCACCTATGTATGCCCCACAGAAATTGTCATAAGTGATGGGCTTCATTCCAGAGACATGTTGAACACATTGTTCAATATAGGGGAGATTGTAGAAGACATCAGGATAGGTAAAGTTGAGGGTGTTGTGCTGTGCATTTGTGAAGTGTCCATTCATCTTTGCATAGAAGGTGGTGAATATCTTCTCGTCCTCTGCTGACAGGTTATCTGGATTGTGTGAGCAGCACCCAAGCTGTTCAGAACAGATTACATACCAGGTATCATTCTTGACTTAAGATCAATCTCCTCATCCAACTCCTCAATGCCAGAGGTCTCCCCCTCCCCTCCCCCTCACCGTCATGCATCTGCCATTCTTGCTCCCAATCCTCCTCCTCCTTCTCCTCCTCCTCCTCCTTCTCCTCCTCCTCCTCCTTCTCCTCCTCCTCCTCCTTCTCCTCCTCCTCCTCCTTCTCCTCCTCCTCCTCCTTCTCCTCCTCCTCCTCCTTCTCCTCCTCCTCCTCCTTCTCCTCCTCCTCCTCCTTCTCCTCCTCCTCCTCCTTCTCCTCCTCCTCCTCCTTCTCCTCCTCCTCCTCCTGCTGCTGCTGCTGCTGCAGCTCTGGCTCTGGCTCCAGCTCCAGCTCCTCCTGCCCCAATCTGGGTTCTTCTGCTGGTGGAGACATCTGGGACCTGACCTCTTCTCTTCCACTGCCAAACAGCTCATTCCACAGATCCTTTGGATCCTTTGCAGGTGGTATTTTGTGCCCCAGTCAAGTCATCTCTTCCTTTGATTGTTCCTGCCAGGTGATGATGACCTTCTTTAGGGCTAGTGCTTTGGCCAACTGACAATGCTGCCATCTCTGGGTGTGGGACAACATTTTGCCACAGTGAGAGCAAGGACCTTTTTTATGTTTCTGACAGACCTCTGCCTTTGCCTTTACCATGGTGAGAGGTAAACAAAACGGTGGGCCCCACTCTCCAGGACCAAAAAAAGTCAGTGATCCATCAATTCGGAATTTCCATATCAGGTTTATTTTTGCCCGCATTTGTGGTAACCATCTCTTGGCATGTAATGTGATCTGTGTTTGCAACTGATTTTGCTATCACAGCTTTCTGCTTGAGGGGTATATAATGGGACTGACTCCCTCCTGTCCATTTCTCTGCATCCTATGCCCAGGATCTCAGACCTCACCAACACCCCTTCCCTCAGCATCTTCCTCGAACAGGCCCCCTCACCTGAGAGCTCTGACAGCCCTCCCAGTGACTCCCTCTTCCTCAACTTCTTCAACAGCTGCTTTCCACCACCATGCTCCCACCCCCTCCACACCTCTCCAAGGATGCCTGGTACGCATTGTATGTGCAACCACAACGAGTCCAATGCCATGATTTCAGATGTTCCGCTCCCAACAAACACTTTGTCAAAGAAGAAAGTTGGCGCCAAGGGGAAAGGGAACAAGGAGAACCTGCCTGCCCCATTTCACAATGCCACACATTATTGAAGCAGATAAGGAGAAACTTTGAAAGGCACTCATAGCCGAGCTGCAGGCCCAGCTGTAGCCCCTCGGCCTTTGGTGAGAAGCATTCTATCCAATAAAGCAATGGAGTGAGCTGCAGTACAGCCTGACAATGACAATGATGTCAACAGTGACAAGGAGCTTGCGGATCTTTTGGCTGAAAGTGGATCTGACAATGAGGATTCCGATTGAGTAAGTACCCAATTGTAGATTTGCATCATGTACATATTAACATGATTTTCAGTCTCTTGTAAGATATTTCGAGCCCGCTTGGCCTGGCTTTTGTTGTTGTTGGGACTAGATACCACTGCTTTATCCATGCTTCAAGCACCACATTCCAGCTCTTGTATGATTTTCAGCGAAGAATGACATTTGATTGCTTTTGGTAAGGAATTACATGCGGGTACTGTGACAGTTCGGTTCGGGGCTTGTAAATGAGTTAATAAAATAGATACGGTTTTCAGCTCCACATAAGGTAATTCACTACCCTAGGTCATGATTGGCATGACCCGGGGGACTCCTGAAGGGACTTAACTTCAGTGCCAATGCACAGTGCAGTGCACGCTATTGTGGGTATCTCTGCGCAGGTTCTTCCTTCGACTGGTAAAACAAGTGCTCCGATGTCTATACCTCGATCGTGACTTCTGGAGCCGATTGACGCTCCACCCTGTGACCACGACGGAAAGGTATTTGCCTCGGATGTGTTGTGACTCCATGGACGATCCGATCTTCGCTCGAAGCGGTGCTGCCTAAATAAGGCATTGCGGGGCCGGATTGGGAACATCTCCGATACGCAATGTTAGACAAGGAATTCATGTCGCCTAACCGGATTTCCCTTCGCTGAGTAAATGGCTTCAGACCTGCGCAGGAGCGGCGCACACGCTCGACTTACCTACCAACCACCACATCCATAAGCGCTTGCGCTTACTGTAGACCTCTCCGCGCTATCTCGAAATTCAAGTATTCTTCTAGCTATATCGCCTGAGTTCATGCTGATGCCGCTCGAACAGTCCAGTTATTCCCCGCCCATTCCTTGCTATCGCCTCACCTCAAGCCCCTATCAGGTTCTCGCCATGTACAATCCCGAGTAAACAGACGCCGTACCCGTGCAGTCCTGTCCAGCGTTTCCCGGGTCCGCGGCAGGTCTCCAGTGAGTGTTCTCGAAGTCCAGCTCTGCCGACGAGCAATCTCGTCCAGCGCGTACTGGGCCTTTCAAGCGTCTATAAAGGGCCGGTGTCCACCTCTGTCCCTTTCCCGAGCCGCGATCCCTCTGTTCAGTGCTGTACAGTGGCCTGCTCTGTCTTTCGACCCAGCAAAGTTCGTTCTTCACCATACATCGTAACACCATCTCGTCATCCCAACTCAACGCCATGCCCCCCGCCACTTCACGCTTCACACGGGGCACGTACGACCACCAGCTGGATGCGACGCAGCGATACATCACCAGCCCTGAGTTCGATTCCCGCCCTCCTAGTCCTTCCAGTATCCCATCCCACGAGAAGAACTCTCTTGTCCCAATGTTTCCACAACCCCCTGATCGTTCTCGTCGCAGTCCACACCCAACCCCGCCTTTTTCTCCGAAGCATGCAATATGTTCTGCTCATCCTCCCCATCCGACGCCACCCTTTTCTCCACAGCATGCTATTTATTCCACTCATGCTCCGCATCCAGCACCCTCCTTCGCTCCAAAGCATGCCAGGTACTCTTCGGCTCCGGCTCGACCTCCATCACCAGACCGGCCCAAGGTGTGGCGTCCTCCTACCCCGTCCCAACAATCTTCCCAGCGAGCCAGACCGACCGCCAATGAGCCTGACCTTGAAGCTTCAGCCCGTTCCTACGCAGGAGCAAGGGCCCAAGCCGAAGCTGATGCAAAGCGTAGAGTTCAGGAAGAGGAAGCCAAAGCGAAGGAGAATGGTCGCAAGCAAGAGGAATGGATGAAGCAGCAGGAGGGACTGCGAAAACAGGGGCGCAACGCTGCGGAGCAGAACACGAGGCTGGGGACAGAGTGGGAGGAGAAGTTCAAGAATGAGCAGGAGCAATTCTGCAACAGGATGGCGTCGCAGCAACAGCAGCTGCAACAATCATCCTTGTCCCAGCCCTCCACGCAGCAGAGAACACAGCAGTATCAAAGACCTCCATTGTCGACTCGGCATTCCGACCCCTCTGGTGTAGGGACCTGGCCTCCGCATAAGTCCGTAACTCCCACCCCACCTCCCTCGCCGTTGCAGCATCTGAAAGAGCGGATTCCCTCGTCCCAATCGCCATATATTTGCCACGAAAAACCCACCGCACATGTTCTTCGTCCTGAGCTTCCAGAAGGCGGAGGTGTTGCACCAAAGGCGACAACTACTAGTAAGGCTGGTGGAATGCGACACACGGAAGAAGCCGAAACCCAAGAGGGAAAGCCAAGTTCCTGCGAACTAGAGAAATGGTTGAGACAGCAGGAGGAATGGATGAGACAGCAGGGAGAATGGATGGCTCAGCATGGGGAATGGATGAGGCTGCAGGAGACGTGGATGAGGACGCAGATGCAAGCACGGAAAAGAGAGCAGAGGCAGGGGAGCCTATTCGCCTCGGCTGACATGGCTGCGAACCTAGAGGCATGATCTGAGTAGTATGATGTTAGAGAGTGTGTATGTGTGTGCCAAGGGGCAATTTTCTCATTCTTTCATAATATTTAGAACAAGCAGTTTATCGTTCAGAACATCCTTCTATAATTGGCTTGATCTGCTTGATCTGTCTGATATCGGCGTTACAGGAATGGTTATCGCCGATTGAACTACTCTGCCTCTCGATTCTGATTCAAACAGCGTACGCGGTGTTGACAGTAACATCTGCATTCTTTTATGCCACCCGACGCATCCTATCCACCATGAAGGTTCAACACGGGACATTACTCATCAAAGTTCAACCCCCATTTCCTGGTGCAAACACAGACGAGACGTTGACCAGGGGCTCCGGCGGCTACGAGATCCTGGACACCCACACAAACAGGAGGCAAGGCAGGATGAAAGAGTTTCGGCAATGAGGAGCAGAGTAATGGAGAAGCGACTCGCTTGTCTTGTGGGATAAACGGAGGTTTGTCAGCTCAGGTTCGGCAATTGCGGGGAGGAGACGAGGGAGAGGGGCAATGATTGTTTGAGCCGTTTCGTACGAGCGGTACTGGACAGGACGTTGGGTGATTGTTGTATTTAGGTGTGAATTCGAGCTTGTTTCATACTTCGTTTTGTTGACCGTCAGCGGTAGAGACTTCAATATTGACATTTTATCGCCTCCGTCTTTGCTTGTCCCAACCGCCGTGCCGTACCAACCCTTTCCAGCTTTCGAAAACTCGGCCCTATCGAGCCGGATATGAAGGCAACGCGACGGGGACGTGTTTTGTACGAGGCACCAACTGGTTATCGACTTATCACAACTTTCTAGAGAAGACGCGGATGATCCCGACAGCATGTTCACCTCGAGGCTGCAGTACGCCAGCCATACGGCACACCTCCCGACTCTTGACTCTCCTCTGTGTGAATGCTACGTCCCCCATCTACCCCTCTCATCGTAGATCTCTTACCGCTGCACCGCTGTGTACGTCAGTTATACTGGGCCTTCGCCCTGGTTCATGCTGATCCACTGGAACAGACCAGTCACGGCCCGACGTTTCACCGTTGCCATCTGTAGCATTCCCCAGCCTCCAGTTGTTTTGCAATCCCGGTGCAGAGGCGCTGTACCTGTGTAATTCCGTCCAGCGCTTCCTCTCTCGCTCATCCCATCTAATCAAAGATCTCCAGCTCGAAGATCACCGTTCTCTTTATCACGCCTCGTGCATCGGTCCCCTTGCACCTAAATAACACATCCGATCTACTCTCTTGGTGTTCCAGCACAACGTCATTCACGTGACAAAGTCAATACCATGGCTCCGGTTGCATCACGTCTGCCACCTGGCGCCTACGACCAGCATCTCGCCGCAATGAAGCAGCGACAATCATCCGCCACCCCTCAGAGTCAGTCAACTCTAAGACCAGGTACACCCGGGCTACCTGGCGGTAATCAGCCTGATTCGTTCAAGGACCAATGGGAAAAATACTCGCAAGCTGAACAAAATAGGAAGAAGCGACTAGAACAGGCTTGGGAGGCGTACGAGGCACAGAAGCGCGCTCGTTCGCTGCCCAAGGACGCGCCTCCACAAGCCCCAGAGCGCCCATCAGTTCCTGTGTTCGGTAGCTCTGGCTCAAAGGGCACCTCGACGTTGGAGCAGGAGAAATTTGCTCAGCAGAGAAAGGACGACGAGGACAGGATCCAACGCGAAGTGCAGCGTCGTTTCGATGCTTACACGGCTCGTCTCGTGCAAGAAAGGCACTCTTTGCGCGCCGATCCCGGATGGCCAGCCCATCCGCGCAGCGCATCAGTTGCGCCAGGTGCTTCACCTTCTATGAAGTCGGCCTTTCACAACCCTCAGTCATCGGCATACCCTCAAAGTCGACCATTCCCACCGAAGACACCGCTTCCAACACCAACGCACCTCCGAAGTCCTCCGCCGTCGCGCCCTCTGTCTAGCGCATATCAACCTACTCCGCGATCCCAACGGGTTGACGTAAACCCGTTCACCTCGCCGGACACCCCTCCTTCCTCTCCCGAGAACCTACCGCCCAACCAAGCGCACAGATACTGGACTCCATACACCGGTCCGCGTGATGCTCCATACCCTGACCTTACCAGCCCTCGCACTACCTCGAACGAGCACGAGTTCCCATCCTCTGAAACTCTGCCATACCCTCCACGTGTCCCCCATCCAACGCCTGCTTATTCTAAGAAGCATGCCAAACTTTATACCGGTCCGGATCGACCTCCCTCACCAGTGCAACGCGATGATCGTCCTGCTTCTGCCCGCGCCGATGCACAAGCCAGTGATGCTGATGCAAAGGCGAAAGGTCGGGAAGAAGAAACCGAGCAAGCGAAGGACAGCCGTCGAAAGCGAGAGGACTGGATGCTACAGCAACAGGCATGGATGCGCCAGCAAGAGCAGTGGATGCGCCAGCAAGGGGACTGGATGCGCCAACAGGAGATTTGGATGCGCCAGCATCAGCAACCGCAACAAGGATATGGATCCAACCCAGGCGTGAGCCCCCGCCAATCTTGGGGTCAGACCACGCCTCCTCCCCGCTCACCTCCGTTTGAGAAGAGCCCTTGGGCAGATTGAAGCGCCCTGCATAATCCGGTGGCGGCTGGGAGATTGGGAGATGAAGGGGAGAGCAGGGGGCGGCCCAGGAGGCAGCGTATCGTAGGTACAGGTGTCCATGACGTCACCGATTGTCATAGTAGCACTTCATTTGGGATTGTTCGTCACTGTTTCCTCAAACTGGCTTTGAGTCTAATAACATATGACGTTGTGTTTTACTTCCAGTAGCACTTGTCCAGTTTAGTCGTTCAAGGATAAGTTTGAATCGTTCATGACTGGTTTGGCAGTGGGCGGAATTGCGTTGACCAGTCCAACTTAACACCTTAGAACAGCAGCTTCGCAGCTTCCACTCTTCTTTCCGGGTCTCGTTCGAGTCGTCAACGGCAACAGTCCAAAGATGTTCCAATGGGGCCATATGTCTTCTGCTTGCAAATCTCTTTCATCTCGTAGGCACTGGCGGCACTTTCGACTACTGAATAGTATGACTCAGGCGTGAATCTCAACGTAACAACCACAATTCCGTCGCATGTCTACCAATTTCGTGTTTCATGGACTGAGTCACACACTTTTTTCACCACAGTAGAACTTGCCGCGATAACCCAATCACTTGAACCCCTCATAACATGTCATCCCGACCATTTCGGGATCGACGTCATCCATTGCTTTCTCTACTGGGACACGTACCGGGTCCCACTCCGGCACCACACACAAGGAGCATACGTTGCCCCACCCCTTCATCGAGGATGAACGCATCAACCTTTGCAGACTTTCGCCATGTCACGTCCCTGAAAGTGAGGAATATGACCAGCGAACACCTAGGCACCCTACGGCACTCGTGGACCGCAATCCGCGGCTTCTCGCCAGCATCTCGGAACGTGACCTTGAGACAGCAGGTATGAAAACTCCACATTCAAGCCATCACTTAGGCCCTAGATAGCTCGGAATGGTTCTTCCTGCTTTGGGTGTTTGTCAGCGTTTGCCGCAGCAATTCCAGGCGCAAGAGAGGGAGTAATGAACAAGCGGAATCTGCCGGGAATAATAAGGCACAAGCCGCACGCAGCCGATGTCCTCTACGTCGCCCCGAAGTTTTAGTCTGCGGCCCAATCCATGAGCGGACCTTCGGCCGGACTCAGCAGCCCTTAAAGAACTCCGCTCAGCATCAGCAGAACTCTTTTTCTGACCTTAATCAGAAAGAGGCTGTGGGAGGGCAGGAAAGACGAAGAGGCGAAAAGGCGACGGCGAGGCTCGGCGAAATTTCCGGTTTTCCCCAAATATTCAACGGTGGCAGGCCAGCGGGAAGGCTCCCACTTCATCCTCAACTCGCTCTCAAATGGGAAGAGCTCCCGCGCGCGGACAAGTTAGAAGATTTAGCTCTGCTTAACCGGTTTTGATATTTTCATCTGGCCGGTTGGAATTCTCAGAACTCGAAACGGCCCAAGACCCAACCGCAGGGGAAGGACAGCTTTGTAGATGAAGTCGAAGAGAGGGTGTAGAAGACCTCGAAGCTGAACATCGACATTCTAGTGGGTTGACTTGAGCTTGCAATGAGGTGCGCTTGTTACTGAGTTGTTGAGCAACTATTGTGAACGAAAAACATGAGGCGATAACGGGTACTGAATAAAGGTCTTCCCATTCTCATAGGTCGGTCTATAAGGGCCGGGACGCAGTCCATCCTTTTTGTATGTGTTGAATGACTTCCCGACTTGAGGAAGAAATCAGAGTGCTTCAGAGTACGTGGGCCGAGGGTTAGCCTACCGGAAATTTGGAAATCAGGTATTGGTCAATTTGCCGCACGGGTTCATGGTCGAGGCCTCGAGCAGGATGTCCCCAGTTGGATGAATGAGTCGAGCACGCGATTGAAATGTGGCGCCGAGCAGAATACAGCTGAGAGTGAAAGGACCGGTAGGCCATCTGTGTTCCCTATGTCGGTACCGGCGAAAAACTGTACCATTGCTAGTTGCATCTTCGGCAGGGCCAGTCACTTGCCAGCAAATTGATGGATACCGAGTGGGGCACCGCAATTTCCGTCAAACATACACTGAACGAGGATAATGTTCAGCAAACATGATGTCGTCATTCTGAGGTAAGGCAGAGAGAAGTCCGGGGTAACCAATCGGCAGAGGGAGGAGAGCGGCAGCAGTGGTACCTATGATGGGGACCACGGAGTCCGCGTACGCCGTGGATTGAGGGGTGATGGGGCAGATTTTCCTAATCGTGTGGACAGATGTAGGCAGGCGGCAAGCCGACGCGCGCTGATATAGTCCTTTCTGGAGAATATTGCTCATCTGCCTCACTTCGAGATGCGCCCATACCTTCAAAACACCACTGTATCGGGGAGCGATGCTCTACAGACGCACATTAAACTTCCGGATTTCTGCCGCCCTGACGCTTCGCGACCCAGCCCATAACGTCCGAGGGCGTTTGTAACAGTCGTTACCGGTATCGCAAGGAACGCCGGCCAGCACAGCGACTGGGACAAGGGTTGGGCCTGGTTGAAACGTGGGATCCATGTGGGGTACGCCTGGCTTCTGCTGACTCGACCGGTCCGATGTCCTTTGAGACGGCCGGCGATGCGGCCAGTGCTTGCCTGACGGGAGCCTAGGTGGTCACGGCCGGACAGAGGGGCTAGGTGGGGGCAGATGGAGTCGGAGGCGTCAGCTGAGAGGTGCAGAGATGCAACACAGGCGGTTTCACGGTCAGGGGCAGTGCCAGTCTTGATCGGGAGATGTGGTCAACGATAAGCACAATGTCTTGACCTCGGTTCAGGGCTTCGTCCGGGAGCCGTCATCGTGCTCATTGTTCAACGTGTAGAATGGCAGCACGTGTTACAACAGGGGCGGGGTATGTTCGCTTAATGATGTGGCACAGGGTTAGGAAGCAGCCAGATCAATAAGCCACAGAGTCAAAATCACAAGCGCACGCTCTGGCTTTGCTTCTGGAGACTGGTGGCCGCGTAGTTGAATTAAGGCGAACTGATCAAGACAGGTATATGAGCGTGTCAGAACCATCCGGCGGGATCGCCGTGCCACCAGAAAGACGAAGGTCAAGGGTCGGGCCAGCACCTTTGACGTGGGCCATTCTTCGCACGTAAGTGCTCACTAATCTGCAGGAGACCAACACGGCTCGACCCTTCGCATCGCAATCCAATCCCTGATTGAGCGGTGTATGTGATGCGCCGAATCACACGTGGGCGGCACATGAGCTGCGCGAGAGCAGCTGAAAGTGGCGGAGGAGGAGAGAATAAGCTGTCGGAGCGGAATGTTATGTGTCGGAGTTTGTCGGAGCCTGAAAGTGCATGGTGCATATAGGGGTCGAGCTACTCGGGCGTCCGGTGATAACAGCGCTGGGGTTTTGGCGGTAAAGATTTACTTGAAGCGCGATGTCGCTGGCAGATTGGAATCAGGGAAGTGGCGTGCGGAAGGCTCGAAGTTCTGTGCAGAAAGGGGTTGAAGTGCCTTGGTGTGAAAGAAAGTGTCTATGCCGCGGCGTAGTATCGAGCAAGTTTTCGAGATTGCTGGGAAATGAACATACTGTCTGACTTGGACACGGCCACGTCATAATTCGTCTCTGTGAGGGCAGCGAAAGGACCCGCAGTCGACGATGACCGAGCCATCCAGCGACAGATTCCAGTGACTGGGAACAGGTTAACTTGTGGAGCAGAAGGTATCCCAGTCAGCAATTAATTGCCGCACAAGCTGAGACTCAGTCGGCCTGCGGGAATAGTCTGACCGAGGTGACCGCGTGGCAGGCAAAAGGATGGATCTGGGTGCACATGAGCGCTGTAGAAAAAGCAGTACATAAGCGGTGTGCTGTGTTGGCCGAGCTTGAACTGCTGAGTAAAGCATTGTTGAACGAAGGCCATGGTTGTAGAAGATACTAGGTCATTGTAGACCTGCACAGTGGACTACATATAAGCCCAACGATGAGCGTTGTCAAGAGTCGATAGGATTGTTATTGAACAGAAGGGTCGCCCCAACAGATTGGAAGGACTGAACAGCAAGAGAAGAACAAAAAGAACAAGGGGAAGCACATGCAAGGTCGAGTCTGATCATTCTAAAGAAGAACGGGAACAAAAACGGAAGCAAGCGAGCCATAGAGTTGCCCACAGAAACGGAGGCAAGCGGAGGCAGAATAAGCTAAGTCCGGCAGAGCAAAAAAAAATTGGTCAGGCTGTGGAATTCGGCCCTCGTGTTTCGACGTCGACCACCAGCCTCAAAAACTGCAGGGGTGGGCAGCGCACAGGGGTCGTCTGGTATAAAGGCGACCACCAAGTGTGAAGGAGCGACGAGAGCGCTGTTGTCGACGTCGTACACGCACTCGTATTCTCAGGACACCTCAATCAGGAACGGACCGGCAAGGACTAATTACGACATAGTCGGGAATAACCTCTGCTTCTTGGACAAACCAACATCGACGCCCAATACACCACTAATTGCGTCCTCGACATACACCACAACTTCAAATTCTATCAACAGTGACAGGGCCTCGATTCGACACGCATATACAGCACACCTAGACGACTTCTGAACGATCCACCATAATTCGCACCCGCCATCGACTTATTCCATCCATTTGAAAAACACGCTGAGAACCCCGAGCAGCGTGTAGGCCTCGAGGCGACGCGAGCCACACGGTGCACGTCCCTAACGACACTTCTCTCTGTAGTGTTGGGAGCATCTAGGGGCCGCGTTTGAGGTGTAGGTCATTCGGAAGCCGAGCCATTCGATCACACATCGAGTCAGGAGCGCGAGGAGGCCAGTGTTTTCCATATCCGAAGCCCGAACGAGAGTATCATTGTTTCTTCCCTGCGCATCATTTTGCTTCAACGCCTCGCTGTTTGCACGCCTTCCCTGCACTCCCTCGACAGGCGTTCCTCCGTTCAAGCAAAGCGCGTTACACGCTGCCCCTTTACTACTCTCAGCCTGGACCGGCTCACCGCCGCGTTGCTGTCTAAGTAAGTCAGATTGCGCCCTCACCTCCAGTTCATGCTCATGCCGTTCGAACAGTTTAGTCTTCTTGACCACGCCCCGACGCTTGCCGTCGCCTCACCCCATCAGCTATCGGCTGTCACGCCCTCTATCCCGCTGTGTACCCTTCCGCCACAGAAACGCCATACTAGGGTAAGTCCGCTCAGCATTCATTCAGTCGCGCAGCATCTCATAGAAAATCTCCAGGTCAAGCTCCAGTGTTCCCCTTTTCCCTCTTCGCCACCTCCTCGCGACATAGCGCCCTCCCTCCTTTTCCCCACCCCACAGCGCCCTACATCATTCCCCCCAACACCACCGCTGCGCAGTCCCAGGCACCGACTCATTGGCTTGTACTGGTTACTTGCGCGTACCCGTGGCGGTCGGCAATACTAGAACATTCCGCTCCTAATTCACCCAGCCGCTGGTTCCGGCTCAGGTTTCGTATCACAAGTCCGTCGTGGCAGCGTACGTCCATAGATCATTCACGACCTCGGTCGTTCGACGACGGCGGAAAGCCGCCCGCCCAAGTCGCCCCTTACCCTTTCATTGCGGCCGTCTCGCCTCCCCAACAACAAAATCCAAAAATTTCCCTCGGTGTTATAGGACAATATCGTCATTGTTCAGATAACCAATATCATGGCATCAGTCGCAGCACGTCTCCCACCGGGCGCGTATGACCAGCACCTCGCCGCTATGAAGCAGCGATATTCCCCAGCCTCCCAGAGTCAGCAGCCACCACCGATACCGACTATACCCCGAGAGCTAGGTGGGATCCAGTTCGAGGTTTCCGATTTGTTCAAAGAGCAGTGGGAGAAGTACTGGCAAGCTGAACAAGAGCGGAAGAGGCGATTACAAGGTGAATGGCAGGCATATGAGGCGCAGAAGCTGGCTCGTTCGTTACCGAAGCACGTCGCTCCACGCCCTCCGGAGCGCCCGGCAGTCGCCGTGTTCGACCCGAAGGTGTCGGAGCAGAGAGCAGCAACGAAGAAAAAAGAGGAAGAGGAAAGGGTGAAACGCGAGGTACAGCAGCGTTTTGAGGCTTTCACGGCCCGTCTTGCTCAAGAGAGAGCACAGGGGAGCTCTCCGAGAGCTGGTACCCGGACTTCCTCCCATCAGCGTAGCACATCGGCCGTGCCAAATGCCTCACCCCCACCCTCAACCTCTTCATCTTCCAGATCCACCCCATACACCTTCGTCCCCCAATCATCGTCTTCAACGTTCTACCCTCACACTGGTCAACCCCCACCGAGGACCCCCCCACCAACATCAAGCCACAAACCTCCGCCACCCTCACCTCCCCCCTCTGGTACATACCAGTCTCCCCCCCGATCGCAGCCGATCCACGCATACCGGTATAACTTTCCCGACACTCCTCCTTCATCGCCTGAGAACTCACCGCCTAAACACTCACACAGATACTGGGATCCATTCACCGGCGCGCAGCGTGATACCCCGTACCCGAACTTCGGCAGCAAGAACGCCGGTCCCGATTCCCCCCCTCCGAGCCCGAGTCCTAGCAACACGTCAAACGAGGAAGACCTACTTGGCGCAAACTATCGAGCGCCCCAGCCTTCACCTATTCCGATACGCACTCCGCATCCAACTCCACCTCATTCTCAGGAGCATGCCAGACATCGTACTGCTCCGACTCGACCTCCATCACCGGTCCGACCTAAGGTGTGGAGTCCTCCCACTCCATCCCGACAATCTTCCCAGCGAGCCAGACCGACCGCCAATGAGCCTGACCTTGAAGCTTCAGCCCGTGCCTATGCAGAAGCAAGGGCCCAAGCCGAAGCTGACACAAAGCGTCGAGCTCAGGAAGAGGAAGCCGAGAAAGAGAAGGAGAATCGTCGCAAGCAGGAGGAATGGATGAAGAACCAAGAGGAAATACGGAAACAGGCGGAGAGAGTTGCCGAAGAGAAGGCTAGGCGGGAAAAAGAATGGGAGGAGAAGTTCAAGAAGGAGCAGGAGCAATTCAGCGAGAGGGCGAGACAGCAGCAACAGCAACAGCAGCAACGGTCTTCATCTCAGTCCTCGAAGCAGCGACCCCAACCGCAGCAGCAACAGCAACAGCAACAGCAGGGACCTCGTTCAAGCGCAGGGACAGGCCAGCACCAGTCTTGGGGTCAGCCTCCCCCTGGTGCAGGACCACAGCCTCAGTCCAAATATGCACCCCCTCCACGCCCACCTCCCCCGGGCGCCGGTCCCCAGCCTCAAGCCAAGTCTGCACCTCCTCCACGTCAACCTCCGCCGATGTCTACGACCACTCCCTCCGCCAATCAGACGATTCCTATCCTCTGGCTCTCATATGAGACCCGTTGGCAGGAGCTCATCAAGTCTCCGCCGACATCACTCACCCTCTATTCCATCCCTTTCCCCGTTGTTCAGCTTCGCTCAGCTGCCGACATCAATCCCCAAACCGTCTCCCAATTCCTTCTGTCTCCTCAACACTCTCCGGAGAAGTCCCACAAAGGGCGACTCAAAGATGCCATGCTACGATGGCACCCGGACAAGTTCGAGCAGAAATGGTTAACGAGAGTGCCAGAGTCCCAGAGGGCAACGGTCAGGGAGTACGCGCACGCCGTGGCGAAGAGCGTGACCGCTTTGATGGAGCGCGAGAGAAACGGGACAAAAAGTTGAGAAAAAAACGTCCAGGCATAGTCGACATGCCTGCTTTTATCAAGTTCAGTTACGGGCGGGCGATCAGAGCCCGCGGACGTCTTTGCTTTCATGGTATTTATCCTCGCCACGCCTTGCGAGTACATCAAAGCAAGTTGTCACGTCAAATCGGATCACTGCGGCTGTGTTTCCCTGGTCTTCGGTTTCCTTTTTTGGGAGAATTCTGGCTTCTTTGGGTCACCTTTTGCTTGGTTCACATTCCTCGGGTTTCGCATTCAACGTTGCATTCATCTGCATCAATAGCATTGGTTCCACGGACTACTCATTACTGGCTCGGCATTCATTCGTGCGCATTGATTTCCCGTTCTCATTCGATTGCCTGGTGCATACCTGTAAATACTGAACGGATCTCAGAGGCTTCACGGTGTATATTCTTATTACCCCCTATTAGCATATTCTTACTAATATCCCTTCATACTTCTTGTGTATGCTTTCTGCCATCCAGCTGTTATGTTTTGTATGTTTGCCGTATGATCTGGCTGGCAGTTTGCATCGTAGGTCACTTAAGTTAGTTAGGTACAATAGTCACAAGCCAATGAATTGCACAGAAGTTTAGTTTTTCATTCTGCGTGAATTGAGATAACCGAGGGGATTAAAATCGTTCATGAATAAAATAACCATCGGCACAGCCGACGCAAACGAGACTTAACATTCCCATACATGCATATATCTCGACATAGTTCAAACTCGTGAGAAACTTAGTCCGACCTAGTAAAATACAATACACCCTATTCCTTTTCTCAGCCTCTGCAGCATCCGAGATCCAGAAGTTGCAGACAATGCCGGCGATCACGCTGACAGCGAGAACCGACTTTCGGCACGCATACACCAGTATATGCGCGAGGGAAGCCCGGATCGTCGCCGTACCTACAAAGAGTGTCAGGCACCGCGTCTTCGCAGGAATGTTTGGTTCAACCTTACCTTTACAGGTGCGGATACAAGGAGCTGATAGGGGTAGGCGAGACGGGTGGCTGGATAAGGAACGTGTGTTGGACCGAGGGGAATCAAGTGGCAGATTTGGTTTTGCGGGAGAACAGTGAAGAAAGAGAATAGGAAGAGACGCGCATACGACGATTAACTTTGACATGCTCCTTCGACTGCAAAGGGGTACTCACAGCCGGCACCATTTGGAATCCAACCTGTGACAAGTGCGTAAGATCCCAATGAAGACGTAAGCTGAAACACGGAAAACACTCACGCCAATATGACCCATGAACTTGTTCAAATTACGTTCTCGGGAATCAGGGTCAATCGTAAGATCGTAGTCTGAAACGAGTTGCCTTGCGACAGGAGCTGCAGATAGCCGAATCAATAGCAGCAAGTGTGAGAGTGCTGAACACGTACCCGGTGAAGCAAAGAGAGACGAGAGATCATGTGGAAAGAATGGTGAGATTTCCCCATTAGAACGCATAAGTGGGGTTAGTGGTTCGTTGATGTTATTTGTCCGTAGCAAGCTATTGGCTCGTCTTGCCTCACTGTCTCCGCAGTCAGCATCCCGAGAATGGGGCAGCAATCAAACCTACGAGTTGTGTAAGCTGCGCCTTACATGTGACAATTGCACCTTATGATCTTGAACGTCTTCGAGGAGCTCAGCAGGAATCTTCTGAGAGATCTAAAGGAGCATAGGATAGAAGAGAAAATCAGATCATCATTAGCAACCCAAACCCAGCACAGATACACATGGCTATGGAGACAATACACACCTGTTCAGCGACCCTCTCCATGACACGTTGCTCGACTTCAGTCCTGACAGAGTCCTTGACCGGTCCACCCATCACCTCCTCGACGTGACACTTCAACCCCTCCCTCACATCTGCCATGTGCATCGTCAGCTTGTCGCTGAGGAAGTCCCGCATTTGATCCATCTTGACATCCTGCTGGGCTATTTGCTCCTTCAGCCGCTTGATTTCGTGATGGCCCTCGAGCGCGGGACGCAGGGTGGCAAGTTGCGAGGTCTGACACGCCAGGGTATCGAACGCCGAAGTGAGAGTGTGCAGTGTTTGCTGCATTGTCAGCAGCAGTGTCTCGAGCACGGGAATGGGATCGCCCGTTGGGAATCCTATGCTTATTTCAGGTTGCAGTTCGAGTTGAGGCTCTCCGGGAGGAGTAGGTGAGCCGGGCTGCGGGGGAGTTGCAGGAGGGGTTATTTCGTGAGTTGAGCGGGGTGTGGCGGGAACAGGGATGCTAGCAGCACGAGGTGTCGTTGCAGCCGCCTCGACTGGGTTCTCCTCAGTGATCTCGGCCATAATCCAAGCCCAAGGACGGTATTCAGAGGTTGTACAACGGAAACGGCGGCGAATGGTTGAAGAGCTGCTTACTGCAGGGGGGAAAAAGACGCAGCCAAGCTACCCAGCAGCTGCGTAGAAATACTTCACAGAGAGGAAAGTTCCAGACATCGCCGTTGAGGAGACGCGCAGTGACCGCCAGGCAAAGGTGATTGTATTGTGCCCCAGAGGGCTGGATAGACACGAGGCGGGAGCGTGGAAGCAATCAGGCAGAAGCTCTTCGAACCGGATCTAGCCACCGTGTGGATCGGTTAGACGCCTAATTCAGGAGTGGTAACGACTCAGGAATACTGGAAGCAAGAGTCTTAGTGAATGAGGTAATGGACGCGTATACTGCTGCTGTTCCTGTGGCGAATTTGATCAGATCCCCATCGTCTCTCTGCGGTACCAGCAGCATCGCCTGACAGCGAAAACTTGAGAGTAGTGACTGCGGATGTTCATTCTCTAAACAGCAAGGTCATCAGCAGGAAGATGCACTGTGTCAAGCACCGCTGAGCATGGTGGTGGAGCGTCCACACAAGGTGGTTGGTAAATGCAGAGCACCCTGCAACGTAAGAAAGCGCGTGAGTAACGTGAGGGTTGTTTTTCGGGCGCGTGACGCGTGGTTAGGGCGCGTCCCAAATGAGATGTCCTCGTCTTCTCTCTGTTTCCCACCGGAATCACCGCGTACATTTTTGCCTCTTTTCGCATGGCTAGGGTGCCACTACGGTGAGCTCGGGCTTATCTGCGCTCATAAATGCTCTCATCCCTTGAATGCTTACAGTAGTATCGATACTAACGCAGCTGACAGTTCGAACGGGCGCGACGGAACCGCCCCTTCGAAGAAGCGCAAGGTCACCGCTAGGAAAGAGGACAAGTCCGCCTCTAGAAACAGACGTCGCACGTCTCAAGAGGATAGCAAAGCAGGAGCGCTAGCTTTTTTGTTCGAAGCGCCTACCGAGATTGTGGTTGACGTGCGTTTACTCTGATCAGCATATATGCTGAACCTCACACTTTCATAGATTCTCTCCCTGCTCAAGCCGTTGGACCTGCTACATCTATCCGTAGTGAACAAGGAACTTCGAGTCTTCCTCACATCTCCAAGTGCGAAGATCATCTGGCTTTCTGCACGCCGCAATGTCGGCCTGCCAGATGAGCTTCCGCCCGATTTCATGGAGACTGCATACGCACGATTCCTTTTCGTCCCAACCTGCGAAGTGTGTATGCTCATATCAGTCCGCTCTGAATATTTGATGAAATTGTCCAGCTATGCGACGGGCCTGCTAAGGGCATGAACGAGATGGTGTATCTCCGCGTCAGGCTCTGCCGAACCTGTCGAGATGCTAAGTGAGTGTCTCGTCCACATGTCTTCGACGTCTTTTGAGAAACCATACATCGAGGTCTTGCAATGCTCAAGAGGCCTATGACAAAGTGGGCACGTTCGGCGGGTCCCTCGCACTCTTACCGGGCCTTGGTGTGAACTCCCGACTTTGTGATAGCGCACATATTCTGATAATGGGTGTAGATGTGCACACCCGACCCGATTCAGGCAGACTCCCGTCCAAACGCGATCGCTACGTTTCCTTCCACATTGATGCCTTGGGCAAGAAACTGCGCTCGCTCCGTAGGACAGCTTCTAAGAGGCAGTTTATGACAGAGAGGGAAACTCTGATACAGCGGGTGCGCGAGGTGGGTTGATGCATAACGGAACACCTTTTGTTGGCTGAAAGAAGCGCATATACGAAGACCAGAGAACCGCTCCTGGAGTGGATCAAGCAAACTCGCCAGGAAACCCGTGATGAACGTGACGAGCTGATGGAACGACGGGTCGACGCGTTTGTAATTTTGTATTCTCTACGTACCCCTAGCTAATTATCGTGAAGCATATGCACCCATCTTCTGGAGCTGGGACACAGTGAAAGAGATGTGTGTGCCATCGAATTCGTTGCACATCCCGTAATCAGAAAGGCAGAACTATTCAATGATCAAGGCGAGTTCGATTCCTTTGCGGGTGGAGTACATATTGACAACCTCGTTCATAGTTTGGAACGCCAATCGTGCCAAGTTTGAGCGTATCTTGCAGGAGACGAAGGCTGAACGCGAGCAGGAAGAGCGCCAAGTCCAGAACGAGTCTGTCCTACGAGAAATCTTCACTGAACTTTGGGAGGCTCTACCGACAGATGAAGAAAGATGGACCTTCCTCCCAGTCCATGACTTTTTGTCCCTGCCGTCTGTATTGAACATATCCAGGAACACGGTCGATATTGACAACGTCCGAGGTGCTTTTCAATCTCATCGCGAGATCATTCTGGAAGAGGTCGCCCGATTCCACGAGGAGATGCGGACTCAGCTGGTTCACCTGCTTTGGACAGAGGCCATCCATCAGGGTATTTCGGAAACGGAGATAAGGGCCGCAACGGATGAAGATCGAGTGCGCTTACTTCGGAAAGCTGTCAACGGATTTGTCGTCGCTCCAATGTTCGGCGATGAGCGAATTCTCAATTATCACACCATGTTCAAGGATGGATTCTTTGTCAACGACGGAGACGATCCCCATGGTGATTTCCACCACCCTCACATCATATGGCCATGGTCGCAGTTGCTCAGATGCATCCAAGGGATTCCGTTTGTCATGTCCTTGATTATTGAAGACGCCGGCCTCGACGAGGAAACGGCTACCTTTGACGAACTAGATGCCGCCAATCCAGAATGGCGAGAGCAAGTGCGTCAGCCTGCTGAAACGTAAAGCTTACATGCTAATGATTCTCGGCAGCTCCTCGACGTGGAGATGGGCTTTTTGTGATCGCGACCTAATTCCTTCGATCAAGCAGATAGAGTCGCCCCAAAGCACTTAACTTCCGGTGGCCCCGTCGGCCTATTTGGCTCTCTGTTCTGGTCTGGTCAAGTCCTGGTCCTACGAATCGCGATACCGTTTGTGGAGTGAAGCTGAATAACTAGCGGCATCCATTGATGGTGCACCACCACAGTCCTGAAGTCATATGTATACTATTCCGCTCCACTTGTATGTAAGAATAAAGCGTGTTACCAATCGATGTTGTACGGGACAGGATGCCGAACGGTACACCGATACAGAAGAATCGCTGAAGAAAATATAGCCAGATACTATCGTATATACCGATCTATGAGCACAACCCTGTAAGCTGACTGGCGGCAACCATGATTAGCGTATTCTTAAAGCCGTCGATAATGTGAACACCGCGGGCACCCAATAGGATCGCGGAGGTCATGAGCTGACCAGCAAATACCGGGGAGACCAACCCAACGGTCCTCCAATCGAATCGCTGTAGCCCTTTCATAGTCAACTGGACGCGACGCAGACTGCAATCTGCGGGATTCTCCGCTAGCCAGTCGTTCAAGAACCGGACGACACCGGCCGGCCCCTCAGAGAAGGAGAAGTCGACTGGGATATTGATCTGTTGGATAGTAGCGGGTAGGATATGGATGAGGTCGATGGACGGTGCGGCCGTCTTGAATTCTATGAGCTCAAGGTTCGGGGACAGCACGAGGGCTGTTTGAGGAAGTCGGGCAGCTTCTGGTACATTGTAGCTGAGGTGCCTTAGCTGGGAGCCAAGCTTCTCGAAGACTGGTTGGAGAGAGGCAGTGCCATCGGCGGTAAGGTGGGGGAAGTCAAGATCAAGGCTTGTGAGTGCTGGAAGTTCGCAGCGGGGTAAGAAGGCCAAGAACTCGTGTACGGGTGGTACGCGTGGCGAAGACAACGCGAGGGAAACGAGGCGAGGCATGCGGAATCCAGGTGCACGGCCGATTGCAAACACAGTAGAATCAGCGCCCCAGTTCATCCTGAGTTGCAGCTTCTTCAGGCCTGTGAAACGCGATACGATCGCAAGATTGATCGCTCCATCGGCTTCGGCTGAGCAGAGCGTGAGCGACAGCTCGCAAAGAGTGCGTTTAGCGACTACGTCCAGTGGCTCAAGAATTGATGAGCAGATGTCGAGCTCCTGCGCATGGAATGCGCGGATGTTGTGCAAGTACCCAAGCATACGAGGGACATAGTGTGACAGTTCTTGCAGAACGAGTCCTCGTGTCCAGAGTGTAAACGTCTGCGTGTAGAGACCGGGATAGCGCCCCTCGGTGGCATGGAAGAACAGATGCTCGTAGAATGCTCTGAGCTGCCGGATCCCAGAGAAACAGAGGTGTCGATATAGCAGGCTTTGACCGCAAGTCTTGTACGTGCCTCAGATTCGTCGACGAACGTCTTTCGGGAGAATGGAACGCACCTTCCATGCCTTACACACTAGCAGTAAAGGGGCGATCGTTAGTTGAGTGGGATTCTCTTCCACAAGCTCCTCCAACACCAGCCTCCAGAGCTCGTCCAGCATGCGGCGACTTGTGATGGGAGCCATATGTCCTCCAGGTCGAGACATTTGCAGTCGGTAGGATGTTTGTATTTTATGACCAGAGTAAGAGGGACGGATGAAAAGATATGGTGAACAGGAGTGGTTAGAGCCCCTTTTCAGCTCAAAATTGACATGCACAAACTGCACTTGTCGTTGAGACAAACTAAGACATTCTGAACCCTATTTATCTTCACATGGGCAATGATCACTCCTATGATATTAGACTGCTCGTCTCCACGGACTCGGACCAAAGTTGAACAAGTATGCAGCTATCTACCCGCACTCGTCAAGGCCGGCGTGTGGTTCGGGCGTTCATTGCCCAGATCGGGAATGTCGCCGAATACCGGAGTTGTACCCGCGCCGTCGATCAAGGACAACGTTTATTTCATTCTGTAGTACAGTCGCGACCTGAGACAGGTGGGCGATTGGTTTTCTCGTGGTACTATACAAGTGCCCGATAACCGACATCTTCAGCAGATGGACTTCGCCAGGCCTGTCAAGGGTCGGCTGATATCACCCAAGAGCATTGCAACGTCATGAGCTCATGGTACTTTGCGAGCAACAGATCAGCTCTGATAACGTCAATAGCAGAAGGGCATACCAGTTCACGCCACGTAATTGGGTGATCGTGCTTGTCGATATTCGGACGCGAAAAACCCGCTCCTAGACTCTCCAAATCATCAATCGTTGTCGTAGCAGGATTGAGCTTCGCGCGCTTGACGATACGCTCCATGATCTCGATTGCGTGGGTATCTACCCTCAACATTTGCTTCAGGTCATCCCACTTAGCAAGCAAGTTCGGAGTTTGGCCTCGCGTGTGGTCCGGTTCGAATGCATGAGAGAAAAGAGAGTCGTAGTGTACTGGTGTGCCAACCCGGCCTTGTGAGAAAACGAAGACCGTGGTGGCACGTCGCAGAAATCGATATCGGGTGAAATCGTTCTTATTGGTGTCGTCCTTTGCCCAAGCGGCGAAGGATTGCTGGCGCTCGTAGGTATCGTACATCAAAAAGAGATCACGTCGCAACACGCTCCGGAAGAGCTCGATATCCTGCTCAATTTGAGCGATTGAGTTACTGAAACTGGCTTTCATGTCCACTCCAGATGCATCATGCCTGTACAGCAATCGAAGGGAGGAAGGAAGATCCAGAAAGTCCAGGACCGGCGGCATGGTGTGTTTGTCTTTTCCAGGAGGTAGGCTTGCCCAATATTCACAGTAGACCCTCTTCAGACTGTCTCGAATTTCATCTTCGCGAGTGGCTTTTATGCGTTCCTCCTTGATGTTTCGGAGCACTCCCTCCAGAATCTTTTGTATTCGAGGCCAATCTGAGGTTCCGTAAGCTCAATTTCCGACATGAAGAAGATCCTTTACTTTTTTCCGTGACCTCTTCCGACGAACAGATAAGACGTTGTTTTTGCATGAGTATCGAAGCCACATCCTCTGGTGAATGTCCTAATCCTATCAATCTTTCTGAAATACTGTGAAGTACGTGAGATTGGACATCAACGGAGGCATCAGTCGAACTCACGCCTCTCTTCGCCTCATCTGCATCTGAATCGACTTTTCCTTCGCAGCTAGGTTCGTCTCAACTATCCATTCAGACAACGCTTTGCCATGCTGTCCCTTCATCAGGTACATTCTGAGCAGTGAGATGTCATCGCTTACTTCTTGAACCTTCTCGATGAACGTTCTCCGCTGCTTCTCCCATACCTCCCATCGCGGTGTACCTTTGATCTTCTGTACGCGTCGTGCCAGTCGCTTTAGAGCGGGTTCGAAGAAGTCTCCTACGAAATTCGGGAGGAGGGCTGTGTGGTCCCCGAACGGTTTAATTATGTCGCGCGGCCAGTGGAGATGAAAGCCGTTTATCACACTGGGAGAGCACATAGTTATTCATGGATTCGTGATATAAGGTAATTAAGACGTACTGCTTCTTCGAACACTTCGGGCACAGACGAATGCGTAGGAGAGCAAATTCTGGCTTCCGAGTCAAGCGAGAACCACACATCTGTCGAGCCCGTAAGCAAACATTTGTTTCGGTCAGGAAGATTTGGGTACATCACACTCGTTGAACCAAAGTAACCTCGCATATCCCCACTCTGTAAAGTCCGGCGGTAATTCCGGGAGTCCAGGGACGTTAGCCCTTGCCGCTTCCCATATGAACTTGTTGTTCGGTGCGGTCAGCATGGACCGGAGCTCCTTGTCTGCATACGAAAGGTTGAGGATATCAAGCGGCCAAAGATGGGACATTATCTAGATTGAGATTATTCACGATGATACTCTAAGACCACAGAGAACGCACTTGTAAGACGATTTCCGTCGGTGCCTGGAGGATGAAAGCGAGCTGGCCCCGCCTTCCTCTCACCTTCTTTGCCTTCTGCGGGTTAACAACACCGGCGCTTTTGCCTGACACTGGGTCTCCAGCATCGTCTGTAAGCGCATGATTCAGTGTATGAGAGCGCTTCTTGCTTTTGGCAAGCGTAGGCTCCTCGGCGCTCTCAACCTGCGCTCTCGACCGTTTGACACCTCTCGCCATCTTCAGAGCGTTCCTGAATGACATTCTCAGTCACATGTCATATTTCAATGTACATAAAACATACCTTATGAAAGAGCTTCAATGTACCCACTGGTCTAACCAGTGTCGGTATATGGCCGTGGTGGCGTGGGGAAAGCGTGAAAGCTGCGCGTCAAATCAGGGCTCGCTTATATATAAGGAGCTGACTCGAAGAAGCGCCCGATGCGGAATCTACGCTTTTCGTCCGCCAAGAGTCCCCTTGGCAACCTCGAGGAACTGGGGGACACAAATTAAGTGCATACTGCACTGTCCCAGGAAGCATCATGTCTACTTAAATCAAGACCGAACAGAGTGTGTTAGAAAGATGTACAGGACGAGCCCGGCGGTATAATTCATTGCGTCTAACATACGATTACACATGCTGCTACAGTCAGTCCAAGGGAAATGATCGTTGAGCGACCCAAAATCTCGGTCTGTTCGGACCATTGTCCATCTGCAGTTTTACAATCCGGTGGGACGCTCAAACTGTTGAGACGTGTCGTATGCCCGAACAAGATGCACCTGCTCTTGTCGATCCGGGTTTTCAGTTTGGCTGAAGGCGAAGCCACGCGATTTCCGCATGCGTTGTACCGCGCGGACCTTTTTGATAGCTTTCTGGAATCTGTTCAATGGTCAGACGACTTTGGAGGCTACATATAACTCAAGGGACGTACTGTTCCTGCCGAGGTCGGTAGTCGGGAATGTTGAACCTTTGTAGCTCCTGCGCAATATGGTATGGTTGAGGACGGTATGTTCGCTTGTAGCTGAAGAGAGTCAGCATAAAATGATGGGCCATTCAGAAGTTGACTCACTATTTCCATGCGAGGTCTCTAGCGAGGCAAATGAATGGCAGTACGAGGATCGTGAAATAGAAAATTGGATCTGTCCACAGTCGGGGAACAATGTTCCGGTATTCCACTGAAAAATTGACCAGAGGGGCAACTAAACAATATATAGGAAGGGCGATCATTGTGAAGAGGAACGAGCCCGGAATGGCCATGAGGGTGTATTTTGTCCACAGACTGTGAATATGTTAGGCATACGAATACTTTGGGATTTTGGTGACTTACTCTGATACCAGCGCTGCCTTCCCGAGTACCGTAAGCAAGACAGCCAGGTACAAGGTCGTGCCCCAGAACCAATGCCCTGAATCATATCCCGTTGCTTGTTTGAGATCACCCCAGAAAAGGATGACCGAGAAGCCAAACAGAATCTGCCTGGTGTGAGTATCTGATCAACTTGGCAGACAGCATGATACGTACGATGCTGTGATACAACGCGTTCCCCATCCATTCCCAGAAATTGCGCGTACTGAAGAAAGCGTTCGCCTGACCAAGATGGTACATTTGCGGGTACCGGATGAGCATCCGGGCGCTGACGAACTGGTCGAAGATGCCCATGACGAAAGGAGGGAGCAAGGTGAAGATGACGTTATAGTAAGAGAGCGTCCAAGATTCGTATGCGATTTGTCCAGAGAAGTTGCTGAAGAAAGAGTACTGGTAACGCGTTAGTGTACGATCTGCTCCTTTGGGAGGACGACATACCCAGAACTGGGTCATGTAGAGGACGATGTTCTTATAGAACGAGTCTACAAAGCGTGTCAGCGTAAAAGAAACCCCCACAACTTGCTCCACGCACATAGAATGAGCTTGGATAAACGCTGATAGCTCCAAGCACCATGTACAAGCAGGAGCTTAGTCAAGAACCTAAACTGGGCAATGGCCACATCCGCCGCTCGCGCCGCCTGCAGACCCTCCACACCAGAGATCCCAACCCCCACATGCGCAGCCTGGATCATAGCAACATCGTTCGCCCCATCGCCAATAGCTAGGAGGATGCTCTTCCTATTCTTCTTGACAAGCTTCACGACGAGCGCTTTCTGCAGGGGGGAGACTCGGCAGCAGATAACGGCTTTACACATGATTGCAAGCTCGAGGAAGACAGGAGAGATCTCTTTCTCCAAAGCGTAGGTCAGGCTCTTCCCGTCGATTACGAGTCCTAGCTCTTCTCCTTCTCCAGCAGATCGCTGGGTCTTGATAGCCGCAAGGCGCTTCTCGATGAACGCCTTAGTATCATTTGCCGTTTCCTCATTGACGATGACCTACGCTGCTGCATCAGCCACGCCCTGCACTCGGCTCGTACCCAGACGCACCAAGTTCATATTCTCCGAGATCAACCGACAGCTCAGGCCGATATTGATCGCCGTCTCCTGCCTATCACCAGTCAAGACCCAAACTTTGATGCCAGCCTGCTGCAGCGTATGGATCGTATCGGGCACGCCCTCCTGCAGCTTATCCTCAACAGCGGTAGCGCCGAGGAAGAACATGTCCTTCTCGATCGCCTCCGCGGCCTTGTCGAGCGCTTCTCCACGGCCGTTGACTGTCGCCGCAGCTTGCTCGTATATCGCAGCCCAGGTACGATATTCCGTCTCTGGGATTTCCCGCATGGCGAGACACAGCGTGCGCAGGCCTTCGGTCGCATAGTCTTCCAAGTGGATAAGCGTCGGTTCCGTATACGGTTGGTCCGCAGCGAGCCGCTCGAGGATGACAGTGTCCGCGCCTTTACAGTACAGCCTGATCTTGCCGTCCGGACCGCGGACGACGACGCTCATCCGCTTCCTGGTGGAGTTGAATTCGCACACATTGAGGATCTCGAACTCGCGGGCCTTGTTCCCGATCTCGACGAAGACGGAACGAGGTTTCCTCATCTGCGCCCGCCTGTTAGTTACAGTCCCAGGAGGAAGAGGGGGGACGGGAGACGCACGAAGAACTTGTACCCCAGCTGCTCAGCACCAGCAACAAGCGCCGCCTCGTCCGGACTACTAGCCTGATAGACAAGTTTCTCCCCCTTCATCTCGGGGATAACCGTGTGGCACACAGCCAACAGAGTCAAAAACTCCCTGATGACAGCCACCTCTGCCCCAGCACCGTTCCGCCAGCGAGTGCGCATCTCCTCGAACGTCCGTTGCCCGCCTTCTACCTCCCCGTTCGGGCCTTGCTCTCCGCGTTTGTGCTCTTCTACCACGTCAGAGTAGGCGACGCCCGCGATGGAGCACTGGCGGAACTCCATCTCGTTTCTCGTCAGTGTGCCTGCGCATTGTCACCGTCAGCATTAGCCTCAGGTTCAGCGCCTTCCGCACACGAGGGAACACACGCACCAGTCTTGTCGGAGAAGACGAACTCTATCTGCCCGAGCTCCTCTACCAAGCTGCTCGTCCGGCATATAGCCGGCGTATCCGTCTTCTCATAATATATATCCAAGTCGGAGTTGATGAGCTGCGCTTGCCAGTACTTGACCACTTCCATGGAGACGATGAGGGAGATGGGGATGAGGTTGTTGTAGAGGATCACGAATGTCAGTATGTCTGTTTTGGGTTAGTGCTTTTTCCCGGGTGGGCAGGGAGACGTACCTTGCAGGAACTCCTTTATCCGGCTTGGGGCGTCCGCCGCGAGGTAGAGATACCACTGCGTGCTGGAGAAGAACCAGGTCCTGACGCTGCTGCCCACTGTGCTGGCGATACTCAGTACGAGGAGTACGATGAACAAGAATACGATCTGGAGGTTGACCTGTCTCTCCACCTGGGTGCGTTTTATCGGCGCGGCAGTCGCGTTGCGCATGAGCTTCGTCTCATGGCCAGCGAAGACGACGAGCCCGTACACCCAGGGGGTGTTGCGCATTTGCGCACCGCGGAGGAGGAGCTGGTCAGGTGAGAGGGGGACGATGAGCTCCCCCGAGGTGGAGGAGATGGAGAGCGTGCCTTCGTACGTGTAGAGAGAGTTGTTTGGCTGCTCGGAGCGCAGCGTCCCGCTGATCGACCCTACTGCGAGGGGGGAAGTGAGGTGCGCGGTCTTGGGATGTGCTTGCTTGATCTTGAGGTTGGTCTCTCTGCGCATGGGATCAGCAGGCGCTCGAACGGAACGGAAAGGAGGAAGGCTTACCCGTCTAGGTTACTTGTCTCGACATAACATAGCCCCTCTGGCTCACTCGAGCTCAGGAGGAGCATGTCAGCAGGGATAAACTCGTCGTTTTCCAGCCTGACGATATCACCCACTCTGATCGCTTTCCACGCCACGTCGCGGAAGGCGGTGCCATGGAGGACCTTGGCTTTGCGGGAATTGAGGTCATTATCCTGCTGGTGCCGTTTCTGGTAGGCGACACCAAGCGTTAGCGACGGTTAGGAAGACGGGACGCAGGACGCACAAGATCTTCTTCCATCTCCTTGAATGCGGAAGCGAGGAGTACAAGTCCGAGGGGGACGATCGTCGTATACCTGTTGGTTGGGGATACGCCCGGTATCTGCTGTATACAAGCCGTAAAGAGGAAGAACAAGTTTGCGTATTTCGAGAATTCGCCTGCGTGGCATCAGTCTCCCAAGCTCCCAACCCAAAAACGTCAACGCGAGAGACTCACTAGCCAAAAACTTGGGCAAGAACGTCATAGCGTTATACTTGCTGGTGGAAACGTAGTTCCCCTCAAACCCGACTTCCTCATTCGTCCGCTCGTCGTTAACCCTAACGATCCTATCTCCTTCCAAGACGACCTTCTTCTCCCAAGGCCAGCGCCAGCCCCTGCCCGCCCAGCGCTCCTTCGGCTGCTTGGGGGTAGGCGGCAGCTCCTCCAACCCGATGTACGGGCCATCCTGCTCCACCCCAGCAGGAGGAGCAGCCGCCGCAGTCAAAGGCATATCCTGCTCTCTGCTATCGTTCGCTCTGTACCCTCTTCTTCCCAGTGCGCCAAGAGGCCCAAAGTTGATCCCATGCGCGCGTTTCCCCCCATTCCCATTCCCATTGCCCATCCCGTTCGAAGAAGCGTCAAACACCACCTGTCGCCCATCGCCATCGTCCACGTCATCAGGCTCGATCGTGGCCAAACTCTGATTGACAGGAATAGAATAAGGCGCCCGCTGCCCTTGAGCAGTATACGGTTCCTCATCATCTTCGTCCCCGAAGAAAGGGTCAAGTGCTTGGGCTTCGGGAACGGTGTGTTGGTGCGTCTGGGAACGGGCGCGGGAGGGTGGTGCTGGGCTTTGGGAGGGCCGGGCAGCAGGGTTGGAGGAGGAGACGAGTGCGTCAAAGTCGTCGTCGAATGGGTTTGGGGTGGACATGGCGCTTGTGCGCCTGTTGTGTGGGTGGACTTTGACCGGTGTTGAGGTGTTGTTGATGTGAGATGGTGGTTGATGTTATTGTGTGTTGTGTAGAAGTTGAAGTTGACGTTGCTGCCAGCAGTGATCGTCTAGGTATTATTCGAGTGTAGAGAAGCGTGAGTTGGGTGTCGTCGCTGTGTACACAACCTTTGGAGTAGAGAGTTGCGTGGCTGCGCGATAGAGAGATGATGGCACTGCACGGAGTCAATTCCACGCAGGTAACACACAGCAAGGGGTACATCATGTAGCATCTCAATTACTATCAACGTCGGTGTGGCTGTAGTATATTTATATCAAATTAGAATAAATAAAAAGTAAAAGGTTGACGTGGTCTAATATATATGCTCATCCTCACGGTAAAGGGAGATTATCCGGTATTCACAACTCCGAGTGGCAGTGTTCTCATGAATTTCACTCTTTCCTCTTTCGGCCCTTTCATCTCCCTTCACTGAGCACACGATGTTATCCCCTTCTCTGACTCAGCGCTGCCTCCCCCGCCTCACCCGTCAGCTACACGTCACCCCTCTCAGGTACCCACGACAAGACCGGCTTACCCTCTCAAAGCACACCATCAAAGCTCGGGAACACGCCGCCCTCCTCCCTCCGCGTACCACTTCCCTCACTCCGCACCCTTCTCTCCCTCCTACTCCAAGGGAATGGGAACTCGACTCCTCGGATATGGTACATTCTCCTCCGCGCACCACACAGGGGATACTGGACGAGGACTTTATGCGCTTCTTTAGGGATTTCGGGTACGATGATATCCCTAGTGTGGGGCATGATATGCTCGGTTCGGATCGGCAGTACGTAGAGTACATGCGATACATAGAAGTCGAAGGTCCAGAGCTAGAAAGTACGCCCCATCCTTCTCCCGACGCAGACGCTACGCCCTCCTAACACTCACGTAGAATACCGCCAGCCCTTCGTGCCCCAAACCCTGTTTCCCCTCCGCATCCGTACCTTCAACTACAACGGCGAGCAGCACCCCGCCACGCGAAAAGTCGTCCTCACCTGCCCCGTATCCTGTCTCTCCCTTCCCCCCGCAGCGCTGCACAAGCTCAAGCTTCTCTCCGGAGCCCGATGGAGCCCTTACCCTCCTACGGACGCGGGTGTCACCCCTGAAGAACAGGAAAAGGAGGGCGGGGAAGGGTGGATCAAGATTAGCTGTGAGATGTTCCCTGAACCACTCCAGAACTCGAAGTGGTGTAGCGATAAACTCGATTTGCTGGTTATGGAGTCCCAGGTACGCCACGCCCCCCCCCCTTCTTGGGTAACCCCAGCACCCTCGCTCACGCAAGACAGCGCAATCCCACATACTTCCTCTCAGTACCCCTCGACACCCGACACATCCACGCCAGAGAACGCAAGCACCCCCGGCACACCCATCTCCGGCGGGCCGACTTCCCGCTCGAATGGATCCCCGAAGGCTTGAGGGAGGAAGCGAGGTCGAAGAGGGAGGCGAGGCCGTTGGGCGAGGGGAGGCTGCCGTTCTCTTAGACCTGAGACCTTATGTTGGGGGAGGGGGAGAGGATGTGGAATGAGATTTGAGAAAAGTGCTTCAAGAGTGTGTCCTACAAACAGGAGACTGGGAACGGAAAAAGGAAGGGGTGGCTTAGTCAAGAGAGATTAGTATGAAGAGGCAGTGCTTTCCAGGTTTCGACGGGTCCAAATTCGACCCGAGACTCACCCTGAAAGCCTGAGTAACGAATATAGGAGGGACGCAATACAGTTTTGAATACAGTTTCGATCCATGTCCTCATTGAAGCGAAAGCGAAGCACATCGCCTTCTGGTAGTGCAGCAGCAGCAGCACCACCACCACCACCACCACCACAATCATTGATGATGTCGTCCGAGTATGCGCGTATGACTGACAACTCATCGGCTCATGACGACCTGGAGAGGGATAGGATCGCTATGTTGAATGACAAGGTCTTTACGGCACTGTCACGTCCACCAGAGGCCTATGGGAACATAGATGCACTCGCTGTTTTGCTGCAACGCATTGTGAAAAACTCGCCGTCGCTCAATCGCAATTACCTTGACGTGGAAAACGCGACCCGCCTCATAGAAAAACATCCCGACCTGGAGGTGTTGCTGCGGGAGGCTGTCAAAACGAGGAATTGCGAGCCCGTCATTGCCTCACGTGCGTGCTGTCGAGACACGATCGCTCCAGCAAAGCACTCATGATCATCTTCTATCTTGCAACGCTGCTCAAGACGCGGAAGGCGCGTCGCTATTTGCCAGACTTCACGGCTGAGGCACAACGTGAGCCGGTTGAGCGATAGCCCATAGACACTTGCGATAACTGATTATCGATCTACTTAGAACTCGGTGAGCTCTCGCAACACATTTAGTAGTAATTTCGTTGTGCTTACTTGGTGATGGCTGCAGCAACGGCTGCGGCGTGGAAGGGGGAGCTGCGGGGCACTTCACACAAACTGCTGCTCAAAATTCTGGATGAGATGAATAGCAAACGGGGCAGGGGTGTATATACCAATTATGTGGCCATGGTCCAGAGTTCTGGTATGAGCGAGTCGCGAATGATGTACGAATGCTCAAAGCTGTGCCTCGGGCCCGGTTTCAACCTTCTGCACGATAATGCAGCGAACGGTATGCTTCGCACTGGCCCATGTCCTGTGCTGATGTGGCCTACAGGTGGTGCATATCCCAAGCCGAACAAAGAAGTTCGTGACTACCTCCTGCTAAATGTGCGTGCTGTTGCCCCTAGGAACTTGCCCTCCGAGTACATGTTGCGCTATACGGCGCTGTTTGCAGCTCTCTTCCAGGAGATGAAGAATGAGCTAGACACGGTCAAATTCAAGGAATCAGCTACGAACCTCACGCGGGAGGACGTCGGATGGCAATGGCATGAACATCTACAAATGAGGTCGACAGAGTCAAGTGATCAATCAAGGCGAAACGATCTGTACAAGAGAGTGGTGAAGGTGTGTATGCATGGCAGAACCAGAACGACCTCTCACTGACGTTCTCCCGATCAGACTGCTGAGACCCTTAGCTCAACCTGAAGGCACTCCTCGGGGACAACTACGAGTCGGTTGTGCAGAACTCGCGTGCTGACAATGCCGTTAACAGTGCGACGTTCGACGAGACATTCCATAACTCGTTCATGCGCTTCACCCACTTCGTCCGATCGTCGCACGACTTTCATCCGACGTCGGAGCACGCATGGATTATGTTCGCCCGAGGAGCCGCCGTCATCACGTCGCACAACTATCCCAAGCTAGATGTGTGGGTGCCTGTGCTACAATGGGAAGAGAAGCTGAATGAGAATGTTATGACTGCCATGTTCTTGGAAATCCAAAACCGGGCAAGTGAAGTCACTGTGTCATTCAACGCAGACGAGGAAGGGTTCTTCGTGTCGGAGGACGGAGCCAACAAACCAAGAAGCTACATCACGCTGGTCATGCAACTTGACCTGTACAGGCCAACCAACAATCGACGTACCATAAATGCGCAGACATCAGTGCCCTCGACGCTGTCTAACGTCCCAGTTGGTCAAGGACCATCGCGTATGATGCACGGAAGAGGACGGCATCGGTTCTCCATTGTCGTTAAAGGGTGTTCACCGTCCGTTTATGGTGTCGTGGAGGAGCAGAACAAGGATGCCTTCAAGTCCTTGCTGGAGGTGCGGGATGTCATTTCAGAACATCCCCGGCCAGATGCGCGGGATGCGATCCTCCAACTCAAGCCTTTCTTTGGGCCCAAGAAAGCATCTCTTGGGTGGGTGGAAGACGCAAAATATGATGATGACGTAAACGCAGGGGAGGCGCTTGACCCCGACGTTGTCTTAGTCGGACAGGGGGCGGTGTCACAACTGGAGAGTTAGCCGAAAGAGAATTGGACGTAATAGTATCTCCTTTATGCAAACAAGTAACAGGCGGTCATCAGATGCCACGAGCTACAAATCCATCATCCCTTTCACAGGGGCAGTCTGCCGTTCCTGGCCCAATTCTGGGTGAGTGATTTAAAGTTAAGAAATTGGGCGATGATAGCCAACTTCTATAATGAATTCGGGAAGGAGATTCAGAGACCGACAGTTACAGCCGAGTCGAGAGGGAAGGTACTCGAACGCAGAGATCATTTTGTGAACATGAGAATGTTGTGCAGGATAATCAATTAGAGGGCATCGGATATATCGGTGATGATCCTGAATGGGGAACCGCCGTCGTCAGGGCAACCCGTTGATTGATTTCGCCCTCACTTGCCTTCATCTCTCAATCTATGCACAGGCCCTCTAACTATTTCACAACATGCAAGCGGACTACAATATGGCATCTGAGAATCGTATAACAATCGATTCAAAATAGAGACCCTGTTGTCAATGAAATTAAACCGGGTTGCTATTCCGAGTAACGTTCTCGTTTTTGACGTCAACGGTCATCTGAAAATGGGACCGGACTCTCCTCATACCGATGCCCCTGTGCTTGCTTTCAGTCAACACTCTCGATTGTCTTTATCCAGCTTGTTCTTGGCATGACTCCGGTGCTCGGCCAGGACCGTTCTTCCATCCGGAGAACAGGTGGAGCTCAAGATGAATACAGCAGGTGGGTGCATGTCATGCCTCCTACATTGTAGTAGCTATCCAGGTAACAGCGATACAGATGTCCAACGTCCCCTTGTCTGTCCTGTCCAGAAACAAGCTGCTAGTAAGTCGTTTTCATATGATGAAACTAATTTTAATTCATGATTTTTCTTGGCTTGTGGGTTTACGTAGCACTCGTCATGTTTGGCAACTATTATAACTACTGGATGTTGGATACGGAAAACCAACACCTTTGATCTTACCCGGAAAAGAAAGATCGACTTGAGGGCAGTACTCTGAGTGCAGGAGATGTGCGAAGGAGGAAGGTACTGTTCATCCCGGACAGGTAGGACGATATCGAGTCAACAGGAGCAGGAGGCGCGACTTGAGAGAACAGCACATGAAAGCATGAGTCGAGACTGGGTGAAGAACGTGTCCAGGAGAGAGGAGAGTCCTACGAAAACCCTCAACAGCCGGAGAAGAAGCGAGGTTGTTGAAACCGCTGACTCAGCACTCCAGGAGTTGGATGACGGGCAAGTTGGGACGTGCTTTCCAGGCTAGTTGGCTAGGATTCCCGTGTCCGAAAATAAAGACGAACGGAGGAGGAAGGAGGATGGGTGGATGACAACCTTTAGTGCACGACAAGACAGGAGTTTTTCCTGAGTGAGAAAACGTGCTCAAGAATGATAACCAAGAGCAACACCAAGAGCAAGACCGTGAGCAAGACCGAGACTGAGCCCGAGACCCCAAGAGCTGAAAGCCGAAGACAGAGATTTCCGGATAAGAGTGATAAAGCTGGGAACGTGTACCAAATACTAGTGTGCTCTAGAGAATCGTTGACCAAGAAGTTGAAGATGAACGAGGATATGAGGAGAGGAGTGAGGTAGAGAGGAACGTGCTTCCTCCAGCCTTACGGTTTTCAACAAATGCTGGCAGGCGCATCTCCGCGGACATGCAGGCAAGCGGGGAGGAGTCATCCAGGGTCCGGGGTTACATAAGCTCAGAATGCTTGAGAAGCCGGGGTTAGGTCGGAACCGGAACCGGAGTCGGAAGCGGAAGCGCAATATTAATTGGGCGGTGCCTGAGTGGCTGGGGGAAATTATTCTTGGTGAGATTTATTAGTGGGAGTATTATTGGTGGGATTATTAATGGGATCATGTTGATTTATGAAATTCAACCGTATCGGCATTATTAACACTATTATACACTTCGCAGCAAAGAAGTCTCATAACGCAGTTGCAGTTCGCAGGAAGAAATAGGGAGAACGGACGGAACAAGGACGAAACACGCACGCACGCACGAGGAAGAAGGAGGAAGAAGCGAGACGAACGTGCTGCGGAAGCAGGTGGGAGTAAGTTGAGGCGTATGTGAGGCGCGCGGGGCGAAGCTTGCATGCAATAATGTGGCATGTGTCGTGTATGCGCCCCGTTGTACTCGGCTGGAGGATGTTTGATGCCCTCAGAGTGTGGATGTTAATATTCATGTTAGTGTGGCAAGTACTGATGGTTGAGATGTACACTGTTATTAATTGTAATTGTTGTAGAGTGCGATACATCGAGCAACGGGCCGTCCATCCGATACTCACGGGTAACAGGGCGCTTGAGGCGAATGTGGACCCTATTTGTGGGGTCCTTAGTCCCTGAGAGGCGATGGTGTGAGTGGCAAGGAGAGGTGAGAGAGCGTGTTGATGCACACAGGTCTGGGCGGTGGTGGAAGATGAGATGGAGTATAACACCCTCTTCTTTCTACTGCTTCCTTCCCTGATCATCCTCTCTCCCCTCTTGCACGCTCTCCCCTTTCTCGTGGGGTACAAGAACGTCTCGTCCACCTCACCTCCACCTGTCTTATACCCACCACTCCCACAATGGATCACCCTCTCACACGACAACGACGAGCGAGCATGCCATTCACTCCAATCTACTCGATCACAACACAACAACAAGCAAGGAAAAGCATGTCTTCATTCCCACCCTCCTCTTCCTCCCTACTCCTCCCTACTCTTTCACTAGCACACATCGACATCCAACAGAGCACTCTCTCCCTATCCCTATCACCAACACTCACAAACCCAGCACACCCCTCATCCCTCTCTCTATCATCAACCCTCCCACTCGTCCGTCCTCTCACAGATCTCACACTCCCTCCCGCTCCCGGTCAACCCCGTGACAGGCTCCAAGTCCCCCCTCCTAGGAACTCAGAAAAACTCTCGCTCCAGCTCCTATCCCCCACGTCAGCAGCAGCAGCAGACGCCGTAGACCTAGACGAGCCACTCATAGACTGGGCCGCACTCCGCTGCTGGCGTACATACTGCAAATGGTGTCACTGGCCAAAATACGCAGTGTTGTTCTTCTTGCTCGCTACGAGTGTCCCGGTTGCGATAGAGCACAAGCCGCTTGTCGACCTTTGCAGACCATGGATCACCTCTTTAGGCCAGTACGTCCCCCCCCCCTCCTCCTCC